CCTCCACATCCTCCAGAGCCGACTCATAGGGCCCCTCACTGTCGGAGTCTGGTAGCAGCTCCAATGGCTCCTGCTGGGCCACAATTTCCCTCTTCTTTGTGGCAACCCCTCAAATATTGGAACACTGCTATCATGTCCCCTCTAGTCCTTCTTTTCACTACATTAGACAAACCCAATTCTTCATATACAATACAATAGCAGAGTTGGAAGGGACCTCGGAAGTCTTCTAGTCCAACCCCCTGCCTAGGCAGGAAAGCCAATACCGTTTCAGAGTAATGGCTGTATCGCAGGTTGCAGGTTTCATACGCTGAAAGCCCCACTTCCAGTCTCCAGCTATGGTGGAAAACTTTGGAGATAATGTCTGAAAGAAACAGCTGGACTTGCTCACAAGATTTGATTATATCTTTGGCCTTTCTGGCCCCCTGTATTCTGCTATGTTAGATTTTTTATATTTTCTTCAACACTTATTCTTCTGGCGTTTGTTTTCCCACAATCCTTTGCCATGGGACCCTCCGGCCAACACTGATGTAAATTGACACTCTACCCTTCCGGAGAGTAAAACTCTGTAGTTTATTCCGTCCACCGTCTATTGTAAGAGTTCTGCGCGAGGCAGAAACCCAGGAAGCTATGAATCAAACCAAGTGCTTTCAGCTCGGCCTCCAGATTCCAAGCAGGTCACACAGGAAAAAGTGTTTGCACCTCTCATTTGACATAAATGGGGTAATCAAGATAACAGGAGCATATCTGAATAGCAAACAAGGGGTTATTTTGAAGTCCTAACCCTCTTTCTCACTAGAACGAGAAAAAGAGAGGCGGGGGGAAATAAACAAGTATATTTAGTGCCTCTTCAAAGTACGGCTAGGTACAAATTATGGCAATTTCCAGCCGCTGAAATAAAGCACCAACTCTGCGCCCTCGTAGTGGGCCAAGCTATTAATTCAAACGTTTGTGCCTGGTAGATTATGGTGGGCAGCCTAGATTCCATTAGACGGGCCAATTTCAACTGCATTTCCCTGATAAACAGACAGGAGTCTGCTCCTAAATGGAGCTTGATAGATTTGATTAGGACAGAGTTTTCACAGGTTGTGATTTCAGCCAGGAAAATTGCTGTTTGATGTGCGAGGGAAAATAGCCTTTGAAACCGGCTTGTGAGGGAGGAAAGGCGGGACAGTGATGGAGTATCCAGACATCTACCCAATACTATCATCTGACTCCCAGGGCTACCAAATGTCACGAAAAAGACCAGGTTTGGAAGGAGCATCACCTCAACAGCGATGCATTAGAAGGACTTAAAAAAAAAAATTAGGGTGGAGAGATGCGTTATTGAAAACAAGGCATAACAAAATCGAAAGACGAAATCCTTTCTCGTTTCCACATAAGTGCATCCTTGACCGGGGGTTGGGAGTGAGGAGGGGTCTGCAGGAAAGAGACAAGTGACAAGGATGTCCTGGCTTCCACTGGAGACTTCTGCTCACTGACTCACAGGGTCTTCCCCCATTCCACTTTGCCTAGTTTCTGTAGGGAACTTTATATGGCTTATAATCTATTGGACTTTTAATTTGGAGCCAGGATAAATTAACCCCTGGGGACTTACTTAGGATTCCATAAATCAGAAAAGTGGCACCCAAGGAACATGCCCATTGCAATGTATGGTTGTGAAAGGCCATAAGGAAGGCTGAGTCTTAAAGAATGGAGATGCTGGAGAAGACTCCGGTGAGTCCCTTGGACTGCAAGGTGAACAAACCAGTCAGTCCCAGAGGAGATTAACCCGTGACGCGTCAAAACCGCGGACGACAAAAGCACGCTCGACGAAAGCGCGTACCTGACGTCATCAGCAGCGCGACGTAAAAAAATAAAAAATAAATTAAATTTAAATAAAAATAAAATTAAAGCAAGCCGATTCACATAAAGGTAAGGGTTAGGTTTAGGGT